TTAAAAACTCATAAAAGATCAATTTTGATTGGAACCAGCTTAAATTTTTACGTTACATAAGTACATGTATATGTATCAGATAAAATCATAAAAATGAAGAATTTTCTCCTAGCCATTCTTTTTTGCAAAATTTGGCCAAAGTCACTGTATAGGGACTTTCGCCTAAATTTTTGGCAACTTTTGAAATTTAAAGAAACCAAAATCTTATGATACATTGTTATTAATGTTTATGAAAATTAATTCTGCCATAAAACTACTTTTTCATTAATTATTCAGATCCTTCTGGATGGTGGACTGGTAAAATTGGACGCAAGGAAGGATTGTTTCCTAGCAATTATGTAGAGGAAATGTAGCTCTAGACACTTGTAACAAGTTACTGGTGTGTATTATGATAGGCAAACTGATTTATTAACATTTATTTTTATTATGTTCAATTATTGTTTAATAGTAATGTGTGAGCTAGTCTGTTAAGTAATAAAAGAGTTTGTTTCGTGAATATAAAATTATTTTATACACAGTTGGGGTAAAATCCAACTGTTGATCAAAATCTGCTGCTTGACATTGTACAAGTACCGTGCTTACAGGAATAGTTTTAATGTACAAGTATGAAAATTGTAAAACCACAGTAGGAATATTAATAAAGAATGTTTTAAATTTCTACAAAATAGTATTATAAAAATTAAGTAACAGCATTAAATTTTTATCAAAAAAGCAAAGTTTAGTGAAAACCATTATTGTTTCCTTATAATAACAAGCAATTACCGCTCTCTGATAAACTAAAAGTTGAGTAAATACAATCATAGTGATTAATTAACAAAAATGTAATCTCACTTTTTGGCAGCAACATCAAATCCCAATAATGATAATTTCTTCTGAAGACTTTTGCGGTTAATGTTAGGATTTCTTCTCAGCATTGCACGTAGGACTTGATAAGCTTTTGTTTGTGCATCACTGTTTTCGTATTTTTCTAATTCTGAATGAAGGTATCTTGAATCATCATCATAAACTTCAGCAAATTTTTTGACATGTTGAGGTTTGAGATATTTAGCTGATCGCAACAGGTCATCATCTGATATGTCCAAGGATATGCCACTTGTAATCTGAAATAAAAGAGCAATTCGAGGATTGGTTTTTTGGTTAAGATTAGTCAAACGTCATTGAATCACATCTTACATGCTCTTGAGGTTGACTTTCTTGTTGAATTTGAACTTCTTGTTGTATTTGCTGTTGTTGCCTTTGCTGAGGTTCAACTCTCTGTTGTCTGTGCTCTTGATGGTGATCCCCTGATTGTGTTTCATGTTTATCTTGATTAACAATAGCTTGATCATCAGGTTCTTTACTTTTTTCATACTCCTTTATTCTATTAAGGTACATGAAATAATAGCAAAAGAACAAAAACAACTTACACTTCCAAGACCATTTTAGCAAACTTTTTACTTTGATCAGCTTTTATAGCTTCTGTAACTTGAAACTCAATTGCTTTAGTGCCTTCAATGCCAGGAGAAGACTCAGCACCTGAAGGTGGGTCAAATGTTTGTTGGCGAGAACCTGTGCTACTAGCCTATGTGTTAAAAGAGTTATGGAAGCTATGGCTTGTTTTGATGCAGCCTTGATGCTTTTTAATATGTGGTTGCTTATGTTGGCAGGCATTAAAATATGGAAAATCTGAATTTATAGTCAATAATAATAATTCTTCTGTTCTCAGTGTATGTGTTGTTCACATCACACCTCAAGGTGCACAAACACAAATGCTTTAATTATACTTACACTTTCATTTCTAGATCTGTAATTGGAGTTTTGAACTCTAGGATAATAAATAAAATCAATAATGAATCATTTATACACTTACTGATCAGCAAGTGAAAGAAGGTTAACATCCTTAAGAGTTTTAACTAAATCTTCTCTACGTCCTCCTCCCATAGTCCACTCATCCAGCAAATAAAGCATTGGATTTTCTGGATGGTTTCTTCGATGAGCTTTAAAACTCTGAAGCATATTCATGCCTGCAGCAAGAGAATCAGCTTTATCACTAACTCTTTGCGATATCATGACCATTTCTTTTTCATCAAGACACACCGGCACCTATCAATTTCATTGATAAATTTTGGTAACAATTTTTTATTTAAGCCTACATTTTGAGCTGTCTGCTCTCCTTCAGGAAACCAATAAGATTCTTCAGGAGTTGGTCGCCGTTGTTTTTTCTTTTTTTTACAATGAAGAGGTAGGTCAGCTGTTTGACCTGAGGCAGTAGAAATAAAATGAAGCTCGTATTTATCACATGCAGTGCACTCATAACAAAATCTCCTTTCTAGTTCAATTTTTTTTGAAGAATTACATTGACTGGCTAGAGCTTCATCCACTTCATTGCAACATTTTTCCAGTAACTTTTTTAACTCTTGGCATGTATTACTAAAAGCTGTTACATTTTGTGCATCAATGTAACGCTCAACACTAACTTGAATTGTGCCACAAAGATCAGTGACAGTAACTTCATTGATATCTGGGTTGCCATATTTAAACATAATACGGTTTCGAAAAACACCAGGACTCGCTTCAAAACAAATTTTGCACAGTGAGGCCTTGGCAAATGACGTGATAAAACGAGTAAAAAAACCAGGAGGAACGAAATCAGTGCTAAAAGTTATGTGAAGGTTAGTTGCTCGGGCAACTGGTTCATCATCAGATGATGATTGTGAAGATGAAATATCATACGACTTTAGCACAGCAGGTAGGAAATATTGCTTAGCATTACGTATGAAAAATTGATCTGTTTCAACTTCAGCAGCAAGTCGAAAATGAACCAAAAGCTCCATCAAATCATCAGCCTCAATTTCTTTGCAATCTCCCCAAACCTCTTGATACAAAGGCTGGACAAGAATACCTTTTTCACGTAATAAGCTCCACATAGCTTCTGTTGCATTTTGGTTTTCTCTGCCCTCAAGTGTAAAGACTTTTCCAAGAGTATCAACAAACCACTGAGGATTTATGATAACTTTATTTTGAAGACCTTGGATAAACGGATAGTAAAGGAGAACTCCAAGATCATGATAGAAAAGAAGAGCTTTAGGAACATCATTGAGAGGAATTTTACATGCTAAACCAATTTCATGAGCCTCTTTTAAGCTAATAACCTTCTTATCAAGCATTTTAAAAACTTTACGAAACAACACCCAGCTCACTGGTGTCTTGACAATCAGCTTGTTGGAGGTGAAGTCAATAACTTCACCTCGAATGGTTGAAAAATTTTGATCGCTGCCGGCAGTTGTGTTATCAACAATAAGCACCTTTTTTATCAGGTAAGAAAAAGCTTTATCTTTGTAAGTGCTCTTCATCTTTTCAATAGTGGCTATCTGCTTATCATGATTTATTTGGTCACCATGTGTACCAATACAATAAATACGAGGATAACTGAGAAAGGCTCCTCTTTCATCCAGTTGAGCCAAGTGATGATGAATATTTGTCATCCAATTAAAAAGCAAATTTTTAGTAGAAACATTTTCTACTTCATCACATACCATTATTCCTTTTGCATTACGAATATTTTCCCATTTCTCATCTAGGCTCTTAGCTGCATTAAATATAAGAAAAAACATTGTGCGTGGCGTAAGAAAAGCTGGAAGAATCTCCAAAAACACTGCCTGCCCTCCACAATCCCAGATGTGCATGAACGGCTGAGGCTTTACATCTTGTATTGGCACTGGCTCAATCTCTTGAGCACGTTTTATTGCTTTTGCAAGAAACGAATCAACTTCTTTTTTTTGAATTTCTCGAACTGATAATTCTGAAAGGCTCAGTGATGAATCTACTTTATACAACGACAAAGCAGCTACTGCAGTACGAAGATCTTCAGAACCGGAGGCATTTTCATAAACTGCAGCAATTAAACGGGCAACTTCCTCAATTTCGTCATTTTCATCAACTTCTTTCCATCTTTTATCACTAAGCATGTGAGCACTGTACTGAACTGGACGATGCTTACGGTCTTTCTCCGGATGACAATCTGATTGACTCTGCATGTACTGCTTGGGAGTAAAATCTTCATATGCTTGCCCTCCATAAAATTCTTTATGATCATCCGGATTATCTGGTCTATAACTTGGATTTCCATAATTATTTTGCTTCCCATACCTATAACGATCCTGTGAATCATAATCATCTGGCCTATAACGATCCTGTGAAGGATAATCATCTGACCTATAACAATCCTGTGAATTATAATCATTTGGCCTATAATTACAATAATATCGTGAAGGATAATCATCTCGGCCTGGCCTATAATGATCCGGTGAAGGATAATCATCTCGTCTATATGGTGAAGGATAAACATCTTGGCCTGGCCTATAATGATCTGGTGAAGGATAATCATCTCGTCTATATGGTGAAGGATAATCATCTCGGCCTGGCCTATAACGATCTGGTGAAGGATAATCATCTTGTCTATATGGTGAAGAATAATCATCTGGGCCTGGCCTATAACGATCTGGTGAATGATAATCGTCTGGTCTATATGGTGAAGGATAATCATCTGGGCCTGGCCTATAACAATCTGGTGAAGAATAATCATCTGGCCTATAATGATCTGGTGGAGTATTTGACTTATTTGATTGCCTAACTGGTGCTACAGAATGAACTTTTGACACTATAGTACTGTCGGTATCTTTTAGAAAGGGTTTTTCCATGAGCGATCGAGTGAAACATGTTTTCCCAACTCCAGCTGATCCAAGAAGCATTATTCTAGAATAAGCAACTTCAACCTCTTTTTCTGCCATATTCTTGTCATAACCTTCAATAAACAAATAATTATTAACAAATCATTAAAAATAATTAATGTTAAGGGCTGCATACGGGCAAATT